CATTTCACACGAAGCAGGATTCCTGCTCTTGAAAAGCCACGAAGGTCTGGTAACACTGGGCAAGCCACCCTCGGTTCCAAGAACAGCAGGCTGAGCTTCCTGACACCTCCCCACCCCTGCCCTTCTGAGTGTCTTACCAACACCTGCTCTCCGCTTTCCCACAGCTCAGACCCGGCCGCTTCGTTCAGTTCGATTTCTTGCTTGGGGGAATGGGAATTGCATTCATGGCCTCGATGGACTTGGACAGCCACAGGCATGATGAGAGGAGGTACTTGCACAGGACCAGAGAAAAGGGTCGGGGCAGCGGACCCCCACTGGCAGAGCTTCGCCAGCCTGAGTAAGCAGAGCAAGGGGGCCTCTCCTCCGGAGCTGCTCAGGACTGTTCATGTCCCTTTCAAAACCCTGCAGATCCTCCCCTTTATAAACCGCTCCTGTGGGGCGACCCCTAATGGAGAGGCCATGAGCCCAGGGCCCCCCACGGTGGCCTGCAAAAACGGAGGTATATGCATATTCTTACACTTTTCTCCCATTTTTTTCTTTCAGTCACATCTGCGTTTTGTTTTCTCTCATTTCAAATGTTTCCCAACACATCATGTTTAGTGAGGTGTTTAAGGCAGACTGAGAGATGCCGTTGGAGGCAATGTTTTATAGCACAGTTTGTACACTAGTTTATTGCCAAATTAAAATAAAGATGTAATCTGGCAGGCTCAGCCTGCTGCTAAGCCTTCCTTGGGTGGTTTCCTGCACTGAGGCAAGAAAGTGAGAGGAAACTAGCAATGAAATGAAGAACGCTCTCTCTCTCTCTCTGTTTTCCAGTACCTGCTCGATTTCCAAATGCAAAGAAACAAAAAGAAGGCACAGGATGTTTGCTTTGCCTACTGCTTAATTAAAGAAATAAAAAATAAATAAACAAAGGAAAGCACAACTTGGGTGCTTCTACACTAAATGCCATGGATTCTTCATAGTGTCCACAGTGACCGACTGCTATTCTGTAAGAATTCCAAGCGGTGTGATTTTATGGGATCAGTATCGCCCTGTCCATTTGACGTAAAATTTCCATAAGGTCTATAATGTTTATTTTTCTGGAAATTCCAAGGCTTTCCAAAGGCATGTCCTCACATAGACCTGTTAGAAGCCCAGGAGGTTAGTGCTATGGCAATACCGCAGAAGGCCCCAGACAAAGGCTACCTAAGTAGTACTTCTTTAGGACTTCAGAAGGATTAGGGTTCCTAACCTCCCTTCCCCTTCAAGAAAGCTTTTACCTCTTGGCAACTGCCTAGGAATTTCATACCACTGACAGGTGTGGGCAGGGGGAGTCCTGATTTTATGAATTCTGAGGCCATTTGTCCATATGCATTTCTCCTTGATTAAAAGCTGCTGATGTTGTTGTTGTTTTTTAAATCTGATTTGCTATGGAATTGATGGCCAGTAAAACTCTATCTTGGGCCAGAAAGGACAATCTGCTCAGCAATTTCTTTGAGTCCTTTAAAATGCTCGCATCAAAAAGCCTCCACTGGGTACAGAGGCCTTCACGATGAAATGCAGGCCAAGCAGAGCAGAACACTGCAGCCCATATGGGCTCCATCCAGCAAGCCAGAGACCCAGACTCTGTCCTCGGGGCCTTAAAAGTCTCCTGCAATGTGGGAGAGAAAAAGCCATGGCAGAGAAGTAAGGGGAAAGTACAGCTGGCAAAAGTGGGAGAGGATGTGCGAAAGAGGGCATGGATGCCTGAGAAGACAAGGGGGGTGGGACACCAGGAAAGAGGGAGGAGAGGAGGATTCCATTCGCAGGTGAGGCTGAAGGAGCTGTCACCTCAAGAAGACTCTTTCTAAGAGACAGCACCTTCTGCTTGGGGATTCTGTTCATCATACATTGGCATAGAAAAGCATCCAGCAGAGCAAGTCCTCGCGCTGAGGCGAGATCAGAGCTGGGAATTCTGCCACAGCAGCAAGAGCAGCTGTCACAGAAAAACTGATGAGCAATCCTTCCACGAAAGAATAAAAGTTCCCTTTTCCTGGGCAAATACAGTAGCGGGCCTGCTGGCACCAGCGCAGGGCCCTCCTCCGTGCTCACTGCGGCATCTCATCCATGGTGAACGCTCCAGGATTCACGGGTGATTACCGGCTATCGTTTCCCTCTCACTGACCCACCTGAGCGGCCCCAGACCCTCTCAACTTGACTTCCAGCCAAGTCATCTGACGGCGGCAGCCCATTCTCCTCCCAGCGAAAGCCCCGGTCCTCATTCTATGATTCAAGCCCCGAGACAAGGTGTACTCTATCCCCTACTCGTATTAGAGGGTTATCCACAATTTTTTTCCAGGATGATTCCCCCTTCATTCTTTCCTGGAAAAACAGAGAGTTCAACACAAAGGCAGGTTTCTGCCTCTCTACTAATCTCGAGATGTCACAATCAAGAATGAGAACCCTACCAAATTTCACATAAGCCTTCATTCCATTCACTGAACTTTGGTATGTGATGCTAATGAGCGGTATTTCCCTTTAGGAAAATTCACTAACTTCTCAGATCTGGCGTTTGTTAGCTACATACCAGAAGGACTGTCAAGGCTTCTTCCAGCTCTACAATGACAGAATTCATTGGGTCCATGGTCACAGAAGATACTTTTTGGTCCAGAACAGGACTACGGTGATATCACCCTAAGTAGTATTCTTGCTTTTGACCTCCTTATAACCACAGTTCATCCTAAAATTACTACCAAGTTAAACTTTGTAATCTATACCTCTGAACACACTATTCCACTATCCAAAATTTTCACAAGGCTCCTAATTATGAAAACAAGATTTATTCTGCCTTGCAGTCCAATAGTCAAAATAGTAAAAAACAATGAATATCAGATTCCACAAATATACCCAGAATTAACTTTATAAAATTTCAGTTTCAGCCAAATGGACACATTGACAACTGTGTAGACATGGTTTTTCTAACTTTGTATTATTATTTCTGACATTCCTCTTGTGTGAAGTACAACCCTCCAAACAGAAATATGACATATATTCCTCAAGGTCAAGGTGAAATCATTTCATTAGATCTCCATCTCCTGAACTCTGGGCTGACAATTTCATAGACTGCATCCAGCTACTTCAACTGGGTTTCTATTATGTGTGAATGAAGGCACTGACTCTTGGCCTCTGTTAGACTACTGGTGAACTCATGTGCATTTTTTATCTTCTCTTCCCACATGGACTGAATGCTCCTTGATAAAGCTATTTGAGACCAACACTGAACCATGATGAGCACCTAAACCAGACGTGGGGCCTAATATGTTGTTGTTTTTTTTCAATCTCATTGGATGCACACCTGTAAGTGTACTGATCCATGCAAACGTATTTTAAGCCAAAGAGCCAACACCAAGAACTGTGCACCAAGTTCCATGGCTGAGTTGGGGCCCCAACTCAGATGTCCTCACTCCCCCATGGTTGTCCACTTGGCCACGGTGATTGTGGGGAGCACTGTTGGAAGTGCTAAGGCATAAAGGGTTCTGTTTCTGGGCATTTCCTCCAGCACAACTGTTTTAACTTAGGCAGGTAAATCTGGCCCTCACTGCACCTCTGGCATCAGAGGGAAAATTAACCAACTGCCAAAGAAAATACAATAGCCCGGTGGATTAAATTACTACTCTCTCTGTTCTGAGCTGCTCAGCCTCACCTCTGGTAACTGCACCATCTTGGACCAGATGCATGGTGGCCTGACTCCAGGAATGGAATTGTACATTCTGCAATAGGGTAGGCAAGCTGCTTAGTGTTTGTGTTTTTTTTTTAAACTAATTGTAAATCTTTTCTATTTTTAGGCTCAATGTGCATTTTTTTTTTTTTTTTTTTGCAGTAAGGGCAGCATGAATAAAATTCCAATCCTGAGAATTTTAATTTGCTTCCTCCAAAATGCCCATGCCAGTAGAGACCTTGGAAAGTTGCTTCCACCATTCCCCTCCCCTCACATCTATATCTTCCCAACATAAAAGAAAAAACAAAACCAAAACAAAAAAATAAAACAAAACAAAAAAACCCTTGAGTACCCTCCTCACTCAAAGAAATCCAGTATTTCTTTAAATATATGTAATTTCTAGCACAAGATTCCTATAAAAATAATCTGCAAGATAGCTTCACTGAATCACATAGTTCACAAAGAGCATTCCACTTTTGCACCTATTTTCTGGATGGCTTTTTATGGCTAGAGTCTGTTATTTGCCTGTGAAACTTCTATTTAATTATATTTGTTGTTGCTAGCCTTATATTCTATCTGAAAATGTTAAGTTTTTCTAAAAACAGGAGCTAAAGGTGTTTTATAGTGTATCTGTAGTATAGAGTATGTAATATATTTTATAGTATGTATACCATAAAACACATACACATATCTCATACACACACACACACACACACACACACACACACACGCACCCATGCACAACCTCATTCAGCGCTTTCTTACAAAGTCGACTTCTCCTTCAATGCAATCACCAAAAGCAGATAAATCCTGACATTATTTGACTCTGAATAATATTATCTATGGACATTATTATTGCTTCTCTGGCCATTTCTCTCACTGTTTTGGCAAATCCCTAGTTAGTGCTCTTCGCCTTTTCAGGGTTGTCCTTCCCTATAAGGCTTTGAGAAAAGCTATGGGCCCTTTACCCAGAAACACGGTCATATCTCCACATGCACACAACAGTCTCAGATTCCAAAGGGTTTGGGAGCTCCTCACTGCCCACCACATTTTTAAGTTACTGCCCGTCACAGTTAAGAACTGCTTCTTCACCATGTCTTCCTGAGTGTCAGGCTTTTGCCTTACATGCTGTTTCAGATGTAGACACAGCTCAAGCGAGCACCCTGAAATCCTCCTTGCTGCCCCTGACCCCCTGGCTCAGAGTTCAGGCTACTGCCCAAAACCAAAGCCACCACCGAGAGGAAATGCAGAGACAATTAGCTAGCGGCCTGTTCCCTGGAAAACCGTGCTCTGTTGTCTCCAACAAGGTAATCGCACTCACCTTCTGGTCTTGGCTGTATGCCAGAATCCAGTCCTCCTGCTTGGGGTGGAAAAGCAAGCTTTGGATGTAGAAGTTGAGCCGGTACTTTTGATAGGTGGCCCCCTCATCGGAGCTGATGAGTAAGCTGCTCTCGATCTCCGGGTCTGTGAGTAACATAATCTGCGGCCAGGCATTGTGGGGGAGAGAACAACAAAAAGTTAAGCTTACAAATTTACAAAACTTAGCAACAAGTTAAAATTTTGGAAAGAGGAAAAAAGAACAAAGAACGTTTGGTCAAACAAGGACCTTGACTCTGTGGGTTTGTTCTCCTGGACCAATGCCATGAAACTATTAAAAAAAAAAACAAAAAAACTCGAAGAGGCAGACAAGGTGTAAGGAAGGAAGAAGACATGGGGCAGACAAGGTGTAAGGAAGGAAGAAGACACGGAGGGGTGCATTTTAGTTCGTTCTACAGGGTTCCTTGTTTTGTTTTGTTTTTTCCCCCACGGTTATTTTCTTCATCTAAACTATGTCCCACTCTTCCTCTTACCTTGGCCCTCTTTCCTATTGTGCCTTGTCTACTTTCCATTTGGGGACGTGAAAGAGCAAGACTTGTCATAGTCTGTTGTGGTTAAGGTGGAAAGAAACACAGCGTGGGCTCCACTGATTTTTCTCTCTTACCATAAACCCTCTTGTTCACATCAACACTAGCCCTGTATGTCATCTTACCTTTAGTCTGATTTCCTGAGCCTTGACTCAAAGGCTGGGTGTTCTAAAGCCTTCTCTGGAAATTGTATGAGGCCAACTCTGTCACCTTTTAACCTATCTCATAATTTCCTTTTTTATTTTGCTTATCAGCTACATACTCCCTACTAGTACATTAACTCCATGAGAATAGGGATATTGGATATTTCTCTTTTTCTGCCCCACAGGTATATTCCCCAAAGCTAGAGTAATACCCAGCATATTTTATAGACTCCATAAATATTTTCCAAATGAGTAAGTAAATAAATGAAGAGTTTTCGGAGTCTTCACATGGAAGTAGAAAGACACGCAGAGCAGTCTGAGCAGGCATGAATGGAAGCGCCGTGGAAAGAATAGTTGGGCATCCTGCTTGGTCTTCAGTCTACTGACCAAAGAATTTGCTTTACACGTGGACATGTTCACAGCTTCAGATGCTCAGTACTTTCTTTTCTTTTTCTTTTTTTTTTTTTTTAAGATTTTATTTACTTATTTGACAGAGAGAGAGATCAGAAGTAGGCAGAGAGGCAGGCAGAGAAAGGGAAGCAGGCTCCCTGCTGAGCAGAGAGCCCGATGCGGGACTCTATCCCAGGACCCTGAGATCATGACCTGAGCTGAAGGCAGAGGCTTAACCCACTGAGCCACCCAGGGCGCCCCTGCTCTGTACTTTCTTGTTAGGGCGGCTGACCACGGCCAGAGCGGTGGGGACCATCCACAACAGGACCATGATGGAGGAGCCGCCCTGAACACCGCTTTCTATTCTCTCATTTTATGCCTCCAGGAATGTGTGATAAAGTACCTCATTCCCGACTCTCCACAGGTCTGCTTTCCGTCAGTCAGAGTGTGCACCTAATATCTCCAGACAGGAGGCCTTAACGCTACCCACGGACTTCTTCCCCGGCGACTTATTAATTGGCACTTTCTGAGCTTGGTTCGGAGAAGCATGAAAGATATGCTTAATGCGTGGCCGTATGAAGAGAAATCACTGCAGCCCGGGGTGTAAAGCTTCCCGGCTAAGGATGCGGCAGCTCCAGGAAAAGAGGAGAGGGAGGGGAAGGGAAGAAAAAAAAAACTAGAGCCACGTCAGAAAAGATCCGCATGCCAGACAAACACACAGAGCTTTCTCCGGCCGTGGGAGGCCATCGTACTGAAACCTCAAGAACAGTTCGCGTCAGCGTGGAGAGCGGTGTCCTGTCAGCGCAAATGGCACACGAAGAGTGCACGGCAGATGCACGCGGACTGAACTGCGTTTATGCAACCCAGGATGGGTTCGAGGTTCCTCGCTATTCTTTAACCTGCCCCTTCGTGAAGAGGAGAGAGGGACGTGGTGGAGCGAGTGCAATCCTGGCTGTCCGGAGCCCTCGGGACGAGACGAACAGCACACACAGAACTGGAGACAAATTGCCTCACTCCATGTTCTAGCGAGGCCACTGTCTACCAACCAAAAATTGTGACAAAGTTATGTAGGTGTCTCCGTCTCTCCACTGAACAGACAGTGTCCGCTCATCAGATGGCTGAGACAGGACCACCAGGTCATGTACGAAGTACAAACTCACGTCCCTTCATTAAAATCTAGCAGGTGCATTCAGCAAGGACGTTCAGATGGCTCCTCAATTCCCAAGAGTACTTCCAGGTGATTTCACATTTATTGGCATATGAAAGCTGTCATTTTCTAAATAACAAATAAGTCACCAAGTGATCACATTGGTTTGTGTCTCCAACCACAATTAGCAATAATATATAACAAACTTTTGGCACTATGGCGAGATAGTCATTTCCACAATAATATGAAGTGGTTCAATTTTATAGAGCATCCTTGTCTCAGGCAAGGTGGTTTTTTTCCCCTCCTCTGATTTTTCTAGTTCCCTGTTAACCAAAATATGTTTTCCTTTCTTCCCATGAGCACAGTTTTCACCTGCTTCTCCTGGCAGACTATTTCATCAAAATAAAAACAGTAGGCCCGCCAAATAGCCTCCAATCAGGCTGGTTTTCATGGTCGTCTACAATATTTTTGATACTCATCTGTGCTCTAAGTCAGCAGACTATATGAGATTTTCTGCTTCCAGATAATACTAGATAAGGGAAGGCAGAATAACACACATATTTTCACACATATGGATACTTAATATTGAATAAACAAAATCCACGGCTCCCTTCGTTTTTATTCTGAGTGCTGAAAATATGTAGACCAAAATCTCACCTTCCCTCTCTCACCTGAAACCCTCTCTCTGAAAATCTGACATTCTGGAAATGATGGAAGCGGTCAGGAAAGTCCCCCTGTCAGATTTATAGATGGGTCTGAATTACACAAACCTTCCAGTGGTTCCTCTCTCAAACCTCTGCTCAAATCCACACAGAACAAACAGGTCAATCTGGATCCATTTTTATTTAGCCATTTTTTATTGCACAAACTTTGTAAGATGGCCAGCAGAATTCAAAATAAAAGAAAAATAAATTGCTCATGACCCTATTCCTTCAACAAGTCAAACCACGTGTGTGCTTCCCTCTACTTCTTTATTCACATCTCTATATAATATCATGGATGTTTTTTTTTTTTCCATTTAGTGTTATGACCCGCATTTATTTCCAACTGAACCATAAACACACAAATGCATATACACACATAAGTATGTACCATTGTGTACAATGCATTTCAATTACTTAATCACAGCCTTCAACATAATTGGGTAACAATCAGTGCAGTGGTTGAATGGCGAAGAGTACTTAAATTTTAACTGAATAAATGGAATTTTATTATTTCAGTCTTTAAATCAAATTCTTTAGTAACTTATTCCTAAATAAATTAGGTTTTTGTGTCCTTCTGAAGACTATTAAAAGTAAGTAAGTTAACAATCTTTTTCTAAAGATTGTATTTATTTATGACAGGGAGAGATAGCGAGAGAGGGAACATAAGCAAGGGGAGCTGGAGAGGGAGGAGCGGTCTTCCCACGGAGCAGGGAGCCCGATATGGAGCTTGATTTCAGGACCCTGGGATCATGACCTGAGCAGACACCTAATGAATGAGCCACCCAGGCACCCCCCATAAGCAAGATCTAAATAGAAAATGTTTAACCTCCGAAAAACAAACAATGTAAAAATAAATGTGATCCAATCTTTAGACATAAATGATGTCTTTTATAAAGTCCTATATTCTCAAGAAGGTATTCCTGGGAAATATTATCAAAATAGTACCTATAAGTTAGTGAATACTCCTCAAAAAATAACAGATTACATTTCTTAGACATGTTCAATGATGCCTGGTTTGCTGGTTTACCTTGGTTCTCTGTCCCCTTCTGCTTTTTGTGTTTGGTCCTTTGCATTCTAGGATATGATCAGAAGGAGAGATTTTTTTATTTTTTTTTTTAAGATTGTATTTATTTAATTGACAGAGAGAGAGAACACAAGCAGGGAGAGTGGGAAAAGGAGAAGCGGCTTCCTGCCAAGCAGGGAGCCCAAGGAGGGGTTCAATCCCAGGACCCTGGGATCATGACCTGAACCCAAGGCAGATGCTTAACGACTGAGCCACCCAGGCACCCGAAAAGGAGAGAATTTTAGGGTGATGTTGTAAAAGGCACGAATCTAAACTCTGCACAATTCCTCATGTGAGCGCTCTAAGAAGAGGAGTCTTTGCCTGGCATAAAGCTTGGTCCACAGTAGGTCCATCCACTTTTGTAAATAACAACTGAATGAACAAATCAGTGAATGAGTGAGTCATCTTCATACCTGACTTTGGCTGAAAGCAGTCCATGAACCCCTGTGACATTGAGTCTGAGTCCTCTGGAACAAATCCCCGCTGTTGTACTTGGAGGCCAGGAGAGTTGAGACAAGGGGAAGAGTGTGTCTTTAACGGGAAAGTAATTATTCTCTGTTCAGATCAGCCCTTGAGTGATTAGAAGCAGTTTACTCATGCCTTGCAGGGTGTGCAGACACTGCACTGACTGCATCCGTAGATGAATTGTTTTCCATAGAAAGTCAATAATGGCGACACAGGCTCCCGCCACCCAACCCTAAGCAATCATTCATCATCCACTTTGGGAGAAGGAAGAAACTTTATTTGCTTTTCCTAGAGGTGACAAATGAACATGAAATGCAATTTATAGATTTAAAATGTCATTTCTCCCTTTTTTCGGTATTAGTCGTTCTGACAACCCAGTGTCATCAGAAATTAAATGCATCTTTACTCTCTGACTTGCTCCAGAGTCAACATATGGCTACATGATGTAATTCTACAAAAGGTTGCCCAGCAGCCTTCTTTCTGATCTTTCCAGGTGCCTACTGAGGACACCCCTCCCTAAGGAATAACACTCCTATTTAGTTTTCCAGATTCTTTTCCTAGATGTGTTATTCTTGGAATTCTGCCATTTACCTCTTTAGACGTGGTGGGAGTTAATAAGGGGCAGCTTCACTACCTCCAAGAACATACCTCTTCCTACCATTCC